CCCCCCCCCCCCCCCCCCCCCTCCAAATAGCCGCACAACAAACACAAAGTGCTGCTTGTAGAACAGAGGAAACGAGCTGCAGTGATGTTTTGGTTGGTGAGTTTAGAAGCATAAATTGGGCCCGTAATTGTCACTGTTAACTGTTGTGATGAAGAGAAAAGACACCGGCTGAACTCATTAGTAGGAGAGATGTATCTTTGTATTTGCTGTCAGCACTTCATCCCTCGGGGACCAGTCTAACTCGGTGCACTCAACACCCGGCTAATTACTTGTAAATGACTTTTTAAAGCTTAGAAATCCTTTTATCTGTCTCCTGCTCATCATATGCACCTGCACTGGGTATAATTTGTTCATTTGCCTAGTTTTCACAAATTTGATATTATAGAGAAATGAGTATTAACGAAGGGAGAACATCAGAAAGTGTGTGTGTGTGTGTGTGTGTGTGTGTGTGTGTGTGTGTGTGTGTGTGTGTGTGTGTGTGTGTGTGTGTGTGTGTGTGTCATGTGACTGACTGTCCCCGGGGATTAGAGATTTTAGGATCAGTCATATCAACATCCTCATCTGTCCTCAGCGAGCAAAAAAACGACAACATTCTAACGTTACCGCTTTTATCAGATTTGGTCACAGACTCTTCTATACATTCACTTTGTGTACTCCTGTGTACTTGTGCGTGGAGGTTATGTAGTTTAGAGACACGTCTCTTTCAGTATTTACACGACGGCTCATCGCTTCTCAGAATTCATGACGAAGACAACATCAGATCCAAATATTTGCAATATATTAGCAAACATTTTGCAGCGATCTAATTATTACTAAACTAACCAACTATTACACATTACAGAATCATACGTGTGATCAAATAGCTGAGTGAGTTGACAAAGTCAGAAGTGGTTTGACGGTCAAACTTTGACCACACGTCAGCACAAGACTCGTCTGCTGCAGACGCCATAACCACTTCCTCTGTTACCAGCGCGCTTCACAGCTGCTCTCAAAAGCAGAAAGATGTCTTCATGTGCAATTCTTACTGGATTTAAACAAGGTGAAAGAGCCCAGTGGTGCAGTGGGTAACAACAAGTACAATCCTGCCAGCTGGGTCGATATTCTTATGTTTTCTGATGATGTAGAAGAGTAAAACATGTTTGTATTTTGAGTTGTGATCAGTTGAGGAACATTCATTCATAACTCAAACCGCTTCAGTACGTACACACGAAAGAGCTGATCTTTTTCAGCGTAGTTAGCAATTTCCCAGTGCTATTGAGCAACTCTTTAACAGCAACTCTCCAATAATGTAGCTGGCCACTTAAAGCTCTCTCCAATCTCTGCGTTAATGATGACAAATAGCATTGAACTGATGAACCGAATGTTTCTGTCCTCAGGATGAGAAGTTAACGGTGACGCAGGCCGCTCCAGCGAGTGGGAACTCCTCTTTTCTTCGCTTCCACTACCAGCTGAATGAGCGCCGCTCGGCCTCCTGGGACACGGCGCTGTCAGGAGACAGCCTCTTCCTGGAGATCCCTGCTGGGCCGCTGGTGGAGGGGAGCAAAGAAGGGTAGGAACGTGTTCAAACGTCTCATTTAGAACTCGCGAAGGACCCTGCTGTGTTTCTCCTGACAAGAAAGAAACCTAAAGGACTTGTCAATGGCAAAAACAAAAAAAATGTAATTTATTTAACATAAAGGCTCGACAGGGTACCGTTTTTAAATGATTTCTTACCCTCTTTAGGTTTGAAAAGTTATTGCTTAATGCTATGTTGTTTCTTAATGCTACTAAATGATCTCATTCAGTGCAAGATATTAGAATTGAAGCGTGTTTAAATAGAAATAACCCTATTAATTATAATAACCGCAATTTGGAGGAAGGCTGCTCACCATATGGGTCTAAATTATACATAATAGGCTGTTATAATTATGTTTTTGTGTGCGGCTCATATGGATGTGATCATGTTTCTGTTTTAATTGCCTGGCTTTGTGTTTGCTGTAATCGATGCCAGAACAGAGTAAGCGTGCCGGCACAGAGCTAGTCGGCTGAGCAGCTGCCACTGCATTATTATGTAAAGTGGAAAAAACAAAAAAATACTTTACGTCATCGCCTGTCTGACTGTCTGTCTCTCTCTCTCTCTCTCTGTCTCTGTCTCTCTCTGTCTCTCTGTCTCTCTCTCTCTCTGTCTCTCTCTCTCTCT